CTCTTCGGTCATTTCTGACCGAAAAATGTTCTGTTTTGAAATTTTAAAAATAGCTTCATCGGAATGTTACGAAACTTGGTGACTTTTATGGCATTGGGTATGTGAACACAAAAAAAATTGAGGTCATGATCCGAGCAGGCTAAGTGGTCGTAAAAAAAATAGTCACACTTGTGCTCTTCGGTCAAAAATGACCGACCATAGGAAATGAATGGGAAATTGACAAAAACAAAAACTTTGAGAATTGTTGTGTGTACAATCTACAAATCGACCACGATGCAGAAAAAAAGTGCTCAGCATTGAAGGGGTGACACTGTAAAACATCAAGAGTGCAAAACAGACATACCCACCCCTACGCACACACATACACACACTTTTATACACAAAAACACCAATAAATTGTGATTCAAGAAATCTGTTTTGAATATTTAAAAACCACAGCTTCTTCAGAAAATTACGAAACTTGGTGACTTTTATGGCATTGGGTATGTGAACACACAAAAAAATGGAGGTCATGATTCGAGCAATTTAAGTGGTCGTAAAAAAATGAGTCACACTTTTGCTCTTTTGTCAAAAATGACAACCCATAGGAAATGAATAGGAAATTGATACAAAAAAAATCTCTGAATTTTTGTATGTACAATCTACAAATCGGCCACAATTCTAAAAAAAAAAGTACACCGCAAGAAAGGGGTGACACTCTACAACATCTAGAGTGCAAAACAGACACACCCACCAACACACACACACACACATACAAACACACTTTTATACACATACACACCAATAAATTTTGATTACAAAAAGTATGTTTTGAATTTTTAAAAATCACAGCTTCATCGCGATGTTACGAAACTTGGTGACTTTTATGGCATTATGTATGTGAACACACAAAAAAATTGAGGTCATGATCTGAGCATGCTAAGTGGTCCTAAAAAAAATAGTCACACTTGTGGTCTTTGGTCAAAAATGACCCCATAGGAAATGAATGGGAAATTGTTAAAAAAAAAAAAAAAAAAAATATATACAAAATATATACAAAAATTGTTTCAACTATATATACAAATCCACCAACAACAACAAAAATGTGTTCATAAACAGCTGGGGAATTCACATGCCTCTCAATAGAGAGCTGTACATGCCATCAAGTGGTTACACCATGATTCTACGCCTTTTCTCTATACTGTAACCAGATGGTGCTAATTTTCTTCAAAAAATATTTTTTTTCTGAAGGCCTAGACTCTATATTAAACTAAAATACTGCATTAATATTTTTTTGAAGAAAATAATATATATATATATATATATATAGAAAATAATATATTTTTTCTATGGCAAAAATAAACCATAAATATTGCATAAATATTAATAAATTCATTTAAATTGTCTCAAAATACTAAATTAAAAAGAATAAATATTATCGAACAAAAATGAATTGCATTGGTTTTACTGGGATGGAGAAAGTTTCATTTTTAGGTGTCCGGTCAAGATAACAAGTGTGACTCCGAAACGAAGAGCACCTGAGGGTTAAACATGATTCGTTTAACCAATTAGACACTTTGTCAAGACTTTTGGTCAGTGTACTGCCGATAACAGCAGGGCTTTTGCCAGAAACAAAACCACAGTGTCATCCGCATACATCTGAAGACCAACTTCAGGACACACTTCAGGCAGCTCATTCACATACAGGCTGAAGATAACAGGCCCCAGTATGGTTCCCTGAGGGATTCCGGTCTTAATTTAACATGGGACAGATTTTACATGATCGATAACTACACATTGTTCTCGTCCCTGTAAGTATGACTCGAACCATGATGCCTGGTGTGACATGTTATAAGATGACAGTTTTGAGATAAGAAGACTATGATTTACTGTATCGAATGCCCTCTTTAAGTCAAGGAATACTGCACCCACAATGTTTCCTTTATCAAGCATTTCCTTTATTTCACACATACTCTATGTGCAGTGCGGTATGCAGTGTGTGTGGCGGTGCGCATCCGGTACAGGCGCAGCACAGGCTATAGTGCTTTCACATATGCTGCGTGCGTTTGCAGTGCGCAACTGATCTGTGGCTGTAGCCTACCACAAACACATTTATTCTCTATTTGCATTTCAAATCCAGAAGTTATCAGCAACTTTGATTTATAAAAAAAAGTTGTCACTAGTGCGATTCTTTTTGTACACATATACACTCGTTAATAAACGTATTCACGTTAGAACACACTTTAATCATCGTTTTATTACTTCTATATAGATTATATATTAGGTTTCTCAAGCAAGTAACATATTTAACCATGTACATAAAGCCACAATATGTATTTTTTCAGCTTTAAAAATAGCAAAAATAACTGTATCTATGTTATATATTTCTATTAGATGTGTACTTACATTATCCTGACAGTTTCCACCAACTTTAAAATACGGAGAAATTTATAGTTTAATTCGAAGACACGGGACGTTTCTTTATATCCGTTTCGTCGCCCGTCTATGGCGTCATAAAACCTTTTACTCCTCTATTTTCTCTAACTTTCTGCGGAACCCGGCAAAACCCGCCAAAAACAAAGGGGAACACTGGACTACCGCCAATAAAGCAAAGAAAATGACGAAGAAAGAAAAGTTGTACGTATTTTTATGTGTGTAAATCACGTGCCCGCTCACGAGCGCTCATTCTTAACAGACACACTGTCCCCGGTGCTGCTCGCGCATCACAGAATGTTCATAAAGCGCTCCCCGTTCACAGTAACCAGGTTGTCTTATTCAAATCAGCCAGCTGCTGCTGTCAGCGAGCCACCCACATTGAATACTCATATGAGTCAGGCTGCGAATGTAAGTTACCTGCCCGCTCCAGCGCGCTAATGCTTACTAAATAAACGCCTCACCTCCGGCGCCGCACACTCACTACTACATTCCCTTTAGCCTTAGCACATAGTGGATGCATAAAGCAAACCCAGTCAAACGTTTGACTGCAGTATCTTATGTGCCTTATAATCCGGTGCGCCCTATATATGAAAAATGTTCTAAATAGGTCATTCATTGAAGTTGCGTAATATAAATATTTATATTCGTCTGTATCATAGTTATGGACCACGATTACGCTTTGCCTGCACGTTCTGCTGCTACAGCCAGCTCAGTAAAGCTCGAACGTACGGGTGAAAAATATGACCCGAGAAGGGTTTGGGACAGGAGAAGCATGGCACAGGTAAACATTGGGGTTGCATTTAAAGCTTCTTGACAAGCTAAATCTACAGAGAGATGCCGTATATCCGTATATTTTTGTGAAACGATAATGTCATGTCATGAGCTGAGCTGGTTGTCATTGACAGCGACAACAACTCCCGTGAGCCCACACTCTTTCCCGACATCATCAAAGTACGTCTTTTGTTATTATTTTAAATGAGTGACCCCTGGTGGCCAAAAATTGCATACTGTACGTTTAACCTATATTAAAATTGCAAACATTATAAATTAAAACCTAAAATTGACAAAAACAGCAGGCTCATACCTTTTTTCAAAATAAATCTTGCATGTCACAAATAACTTCTTCGTCCACCTCCACAAATCAGATGAGTATCGTTCATTAGTCACCTTGTTTAAGTAAATTATAATTTCCTTGGTTTACCCCAGTCTTTAAAGGAGTAGTTCACTTTTCAAAAAACTTTTGCTGATAATTCACTCACCCCCATGTCATCCAAGATGCCCATGTCTTTCTTTCTTCGGTCAAAAGAAATTAAGGTTTTTGATGAAAACATTCCAGCATTTTTCTCTGTATAATGCACTTCAGTGGGAACCAAACAGTTCAAGGTCCAAAAGACAATTTCAGTACAAACTGCAAACTGTTCAAAAGGCTTTAAATGATTCCAGACGATGAATAAGGGTCTTATCAAGTGAAACGATCGCTCATTTAAAAAAAAAAAAGTTTAAATTTTATAAGCTCAAATGCTCGCCTTGTTCTGTACTGCGATGCACGTTCTTGACTCTCCTGTTCGAACTCGTTAATCAAAATGAACAAATCTTTTTCCAAGTCAATTCGTTCGTTTCGTTCGTTGAATGAACCAAATGTTACCAAATGTTAATGAACGAAAAAATCTTACATACTGTGCTTTTAAGGAAACTAAACATCATATTAAAAACCAAAGGGATGTAAAACTTTTAAACAACATTTGTGTAAATTCAGTTTTTGTTTTGTCTATTGGAATGTGTAAATATTTGTTACATGAAACAGGGAAGTAAAAAAAATGTGAATATCAGGGAAGTATTAAAAAAAAATCACTATAAATTACTGTTACTTCAGTTCGTACAGTGAATGATTTGTCAGACTGATTCAATCATTCATTTTTTTTTTCATTCAAGAGAAATTACTTGAGAGAGACATTACCTTGTGAATCAGATTACACTGGCTTCACTCTATGTTTGTATTAAGACATGTCACTTTAAGGCCAATTTATACTTCTGTAGTGTACGGCGTAGGCTGCGCACGTAGGCGACGCCGTCGTGAGCATTTATACTTCTGCGTTCAGATCTTGGTTGCTGTGCAGTACTGCTTCGAAACGCTAGTTGGGTTTTAATGTTCCACTGTGTTTAGATTCCTCACGGCTAGGTTACAACAAGCAATGCCGACTGAAAGAGAGCGGATCATGTTGGAGTTGGAGCTTATTGAGGTGGAAAAACAGTTAATTTTAGTGAAATTACTAAATCTAAAAGGCAGAAACGAGAGAAGACGTCGGAGGAGATGGTACGTGCGGAAATGTGTAGGAGGAAATGCGATGCTACCAAGCCGACCAATCACAGATCTTGCGGTCCGCGTCGTCGCGACGTGTAGTTAAATTTTTGAAGAGGTGCGCGTCAGGCTACAGCGAAGGGTACGCGGTATGGTATGCGTCTGTGCGTATGCTACGCCGTACCTACTGCGCGCACCCTATGCAGAAGTATAAAATGGCCTTTAGCAGTACACTGTCTTGTGCTATTTTTCTTGATGTTTTGAAGTAAATGAGTGCTAAAAGTACCTTAGAGTCTCTTATTCTCTCTGCAGCGGTGGCCAGGTTTCCATCACTGTGTGCACGGCTGATGCTTGTGGAGGAATTGGACCCCGTGGAAGTCGTGCTACTGCTGGCACTGCTTACTATGCTGACATTACTGCTGCTGTGAGCACTCACACCACTGGTGCTGCCACTGCTTGCCATGCTCCTCTTCCAGCCATCACGTGTCATAATGGGACGCTGCCGTGGACTGTGCTCACGTATGTAGCTCCTCACCTAAATTAACAATAGAAATCTTAATGTTTTTAAGAGTTTTCCTGACTAACACATCTCAGATTAACCTGCAACAATTGTATGATCATTGAATGAAACTAACCTACTTGTATGAGATAACTAGCAAGCCTTGAAATACACGCTACAGGATTTTCACGATTTTTGCTCCAATTTGCAGTCTGGATGAGTCAAATTTAGTCGTTGAAAGACAGACAGTCAGCAATTTAAGCTGTCAGAGTTGACATAATATATATATATATATTAAAAAAATGTAATCCCTTAATTTTCTTGAAGACATCACACACGCACTTGACATATTATTTTCATTTGTCATGCATCTCCTAGCAATGATGTACATTTCTGCGTGAGTTTGTGGTGTTTGGAACATCAAATTCAAGAGCAAATTTGTAAGTGTGTGTGTGTGTGTGTGTGTGTGTGTGTCTGCGTGTGTGTGTGTGTGTGTGTGAGGGCTTTTTTCTCTTTAAATAACTGAGGTTTTTTTTCTCTTTAAATAACTTGCTAGTGGATATGACTTCTTTTCTATAGTGGAAAGAAAAAAATGTCCAGACATGGTGGCGTTTCACATGGCTTAGTTTGATTTACTCTTGTTGATGCCGCTGAAGCAGTGCAAGTACTGCTTAAATCTTCCGCTGAATCCATTTGGAATGTTTGAATCTCCTGCTGAATCCGTTTGGAATGTTTGTATCTCCAGCTGAAGCAGTGTTTGGGATTTTTTAATGTTTGAGTCTGACTGGTTGGGGCGGAGCTTTGGAGTGCCCAATAGGCTCTATGCACGAACCCTGCTGATGTGTGTTCGAAGTGCGTTCTGCAGGCAAAGTATATAGCGGCAAAACTTTAATAAAATCCGTTTTCTCAGAAACGGAGACAACGTTTTCAGAAACGCTGATTCGCTAGACGAATTTCGTACGATATGAGAAAATACTAACCCTCAAAGTTGTCGATGTAGCTCGAAATATATAATTTAAATAACTTCTCTTTTTTACTCTTGTGTGACAGCTAACTGCCTCACAGTGTTGTTAACATCATTCACGTTAACAGTAGGATGTTTTTATAAACAGCAAGTGTAATTTGACACTCTCCACCTAACGCAAAACCGGCTTCTGACGCAGCACCGGATGTAACTGGGCGTGCTGAGACAAAGGAAGGAATCATTCCGGTTGCCATTTTACAACATTAGACGTTTTCAAAACAATTTCACCCACGTGCACCGACGAGTGAGTTGAAACTCATTACATTATGCAAAACTGTTATCCACTCACAGCAGTGGGCGTTTACTTCCAAGTCTTCAGTGCGAGACGCCCATAAAAACAGAGCGTTATTGAGCTAGGCTCAAAACTAGGGTAGAAAATAGCCTAATTGTAATGGTTCAATTCAGTAATGTCAACCTTTAAGCGCCCTCTTGTGGCGAAGATTGTGTATGTTAACTACCATTGGCGTCGAGTTTGAATATGTACAAGCCTAATTGCTGTATTTTTTGTTTGTTTGCAGTTTTACAATGTTAAAGTTTAAAAAGAAAAGATTCATATAGCTATTGGAAGATTAAAAAGCCATGAATCAACAACTCGCCTGTTCACTGTCTGTCTAGCTGGATAGAGAAGTGACACGTCTAGTGAGGACAGAACAGTAAAAAGCCTTCTATCAGCAAACAACGCCTTAAATGCTAACTTCAGCCATCAAGTCATCATGTGGCAGCCATCAGACCTGCATCCCCAACAGCACCCAGGGAGCCACATGCTGAAAGTTCAAGAGGGGGCACTGGAAACGAGATCCCAGTGCTCTGCTTCTTCAATGTGGTCTACCAGGTCATCTGCAAGCGTAGCAGCTCTTAAAGTGCGAGCCAAAGCTGAGGCTGTACAAGCGCAGGTGATCTATGCAGAAGAGGAAGCTGAAGTAATGAAACAACAAGCTGAAATGCAGGCTCAGCTACATATTTTAAAGATAAAGAAAGAAGCGGCAGCTGCAGCTGCAGAAGCAGAGATACAGTTTGACGAACAACAACCTTACAGCCAAGAACATCTGTGCGACAACCCTGTGGATTCCAAGGAAAAGGTTCAAAATTTCATTGACAGTCAAGTATTCATGCAAAACAACCAAGTGCCATCGCAGCCTCAAATCTCAATCACAAATCCCTTCACCTACAATACTCCTGTAACCAAGCAAGAAACCCTGGAGCATAGACAACAACGGCCGCCCATATACACGTCAACATCGCATCCTAACACATTACATCCAGTTCTGACCCACCGTCACCAGTCATTCTTCTCAACGCCCCCAAATCCTCAACAGACGTCTACGGTAAATGATACGGCTAAATATCTAATGAGACGGGAACTGGTGTCAGCTACTTTGCAAACCTTTGACGATGATCCACAAAACTATCGAAGCTGGAAATCCCCATTTCTGAATATTACTAAAGACTTGTCCCTGTCCCCTAGAGAAGAATTAGATCTACTTGTAAAATGGCTTGGACCAAAGTCGAACCAGCAAGCTAAAAGAATCAGTGCGGCTCAAATCAATGATGCCTCTGAAGCCCTAAAACTGATAAAACTAACCCAACTAGCTAAAGCAGAGGGTTATTCACCAGGGTTAGCCTTTCTGGATACAGCTTGTGGGGTTCCCATAGTGGAAAAGCTCCCTTACGCCCTACAAGAAAAATGGATCTCACATGCATCCAAATACAAAGTAGATTACAATGCCATATTTCCACCATTTTCTACCTTTTCTAACTTTGTACGGGAGCAAGGATGCATAATAAATGATCCTAGCTTCTCATTTCTATCAGTAGCACAGTCCAAGTTTGAGAGACCTGTTAAAAACAGTACTCGTCCTACAATTTCAGTGAAAAAGACAAAAATAGCACAGAGTAATGAAACAACAGATGTTAGTGAGGATCCTGACAAACAATGTCCTTTGCACAAAAAGCCGCATCCCCTCAGAAAATGTTGCAGCTTCCGTAGTAAGTCCCTAGAAGAGAGAAAAACATATCAGGGATAACAACATATGCTTCAAGTGTTGTGCATCAACCAAACACCAAGCCAGAAGCTGTCAGATCAAAGCCATCTGCAAAGAATGTGGGAGTGAAAGACACATTACTGTGCTACATCCAGGCCCACCTCCTCCTAACAGCATCACACCAACGACAGAGGTGAAACAGCATGGCGGGGAGCCTGAGCTCAGCACACCAGCAGTCTCAGCTACAGCGATGTGCACAGAGGTATGTGGTGAACAGCGCGGCTCAAGATCTTGTGCTAAAATATGCTTAGCAAAAGTGTATCCATTAGGTCAGAGGAACAAGGCAATAAATCTGTATGCTGTTATGGACGAACAAAGTAATCAGTCTCTGACTTTTTCGACCTCTTTAGTGTTAAAGAAGGCACGGAGGTGTATACGTTAAAGACATGTTCAGGTATCATGGAAGTGAGAGGGAGAAAGGCTAAAGACTTTATTGTCAAGTCTATGGATGGTCACATAAAGGTGCCACTGCCTGCATTGCTACAATGTGACATGATCCTAGAGGATCGCTCAGAGATCCCTTCGCCTGAAGTCACCCAATACTACCCGCACCTAAAGGCGCTCGCACACAAGATACATCCCATAGACGAGAATGCACAAATCCTGTTGCTCTTGGGTAGAGACATCCTGAGTTTGCACAAAGTGAGACAGCAGTGCAATGGTCCCCATGATGCACCATTCACCCAGCGCCTTGACCTCGGCTGGGTAATTGTGGGAGATGTCTGTTTGAATGGCGCTCACAAACCAAAGCCTGTAGCAACGTACAAAACTAACATATTTCTCAACGGCCGTCCATCGTACCTCAGGTCATGTACCAATCTCCTGCAAATAAAGGATAAATCTGCAAGTCAACCAAAATACATTCAGAGCTGTACAGATACTTACCAGGCAAGACAAAAAGACAATCTTGGGGACACTGTCTTTATCAGAAAGGAGGATGATGAAAGGTTATCACAACAGGATGCGCAATTCCTGACAATAATGCAGAATGAAATGTATCAGGATGAGACAAACAGTTGGGTTGCTCCCCTTCCCCTCGTTACACCCAGACAACGTCTACCGAATAACCGACACCAAGCCTTAAAAAGACTTGATACACTAAAACGAAGCCTCGACAGGAAACCTGAGATGAGGGAGCACTTTGTACAGCTCATGCAAAAAGTAATTGACAACAAGCAAGCAGAAGTCGCCCCCGCTTTACAACTGAATGATGAGTGTTTGTATCTCCCCATGTTTGGGGTGTACCACCCGCAGAAACCCAAGCAAATCCGTGTAGTTTTTGACTCGAGCGCCAAACATGAGGGTGTAGCGCTCAACGATGTCCTCTTAAGTGGCCCAGATCTCAACAATGCTTTGCTTGGGGTTCTAATCAGATTCCGCAGAGAGCCCATCGCAGTAATAGCAGATGTGGAACAAATGTTCTACTGTTTCACAGTAAGAGAAGACCATTGCAATTTCCTACGATTTCTCTGGTTTGAAGACAACAACGTCACAAAAGAGATTATCGAGTATCGCATGAAAGTTCATGTTTTTGGAAATCGTCCGTCTCCCTCTGTTGCAATCTTTGGGCTCCGCAAGGCAGCTGAAGCCGGTTTGAAGGAATATGGCAAGGACGCAGAGCATTTCGTCACCAGGAACTTTTACGTAGACGACGGTCTAACCTCACTCCCAACAAGGCCAAAATAGCACCAAAACCAGCTCACACAATTCCACGGTTTGAACTATGTGCCGCTGTCCTTGCAACAGAAATGGCAGAGCTTATATGCCAAGAAATCGACATGGAGCTTCATGCTGTAACGTTCTACAGGGATAGTAAGATTGTTCTAGGTTACATCTACAACACGTCAAGAAGATTTTATGTCTATGTATCAAACAGAGATTCTAGAATCAGAAAGTCTTCAGTACCAACACAGTGGCATCATGTCTCATCAGAAAACAATTCAGCAGACATCGCTACTCGCCGAATAGCA